TTAAATAGGATTCAATTATTATTTATTTTTTCTTAATAATATGTTTAATATTTGCCATTCAAATAAGTTTAGTTTTAAAAAATTGGTCAATAATTTCATGAATTTATTATTTTTTAAATTTTAATTATATTTGTATTAGTTTTGCTAGCTTTATTTTTGAAGTACAAACTTCAATTATTTTTATTGCGCTTACATTAAATTGGAGATTTAATTTATTACTTTTTTATTTTATCTGATCTTTGTGGCACATGCCTGATTTATTATATAATTATATCCTATTTACTTCTATTTCTAATTATAGTATGTGTTTATTTTGTATTTCACAATTACTTTCACTTTCTTTTTGTACGTATTTTTTCTAGCTTTTTATATTTTCACACATGTCCGTCCACTCACACATTCACACGTCGTGTTCGTGTCACACAGACAACCCCAAAAGCGCGTCTAATTCTGACACAAAACTACAATGAAAGTATTCGGCTTAACGTCGTCTCGTTTTATTTGATAAGCTCTAAAAAAAAACCAGACACCTGGTCAAAGGGTGGGTCAACCGACATTATATCCCAACGGCACTTCGGCCTTGATAAGCCCCAAAGCTGCAATCAGCTATTAAAAAGAATTTTCGCTTTTAAATTAATTAAAACTGTTCAACTTGACAACTAAAGGCACAAAGGTATATATGAATATATACATATACATACACATGAAATATGCGTATATATGAAATACCTATACAATCATGTATGTATGTGTATCTGTAGTAATACGTGATGATATATAATACCCATTGTAATAGTTCTTGTTGCTTTTTCTTATCAGTTATAAACACCCACATTTAGACAATTGGCGCTAATTGTAGTCGAGCTGTGTACCCTGATACCCTGTAAACTAAGTAGAGGTGTCACAGGGCATGCTACATGCATGGTATGCAGCATAGGGCATCTGCTATTTGCGCCAGCTAGTTGAGCAGTTAGATTTATTCTTACAGATGTATCCGAATTTACATATTTATTTACATATTTTATTTTCACTTGATTCATAATATTCTTTTCTTAAAGGCACCGCACCCGTTGTACCCTTTATGCCGCCACTGGCGAAACAGCTGGGCTATTCCGATGTCGTCGTTGGCACCATGTACATGATATTGCCTATTGTGGGTTTACTGGCAAAGCCGCTCTTTGGCTACATAGCGGATCGGTAAGTGGAGCAAGCGGAAATATCGCCTCTCTATGTGATTTTCACGAGTGAAATCGAGTTAGGTTATAATAAAGCAATGGTAATTAGAGAGAGAGAGAGAGGGAGAAGGATTGAAGCCGAATATGAGAGAGTAACTAGATTAACTCTTTCGATATGTTTGTAGACAAATTGCATTTCTATGCGATTTTCATGATATATTCCACAAGCGAATAATTGAAGGCTGAACTAGTGAGTAAAAAGAGACAAAGAGATTTGGGGGAATTTTCGCAAGAGACAAAAAAGACCAAGCGCCAAATATAGCCTCTCTATATGATTTTCAAGATGAAAATTGAATTAGAACGAAGCGAGTAAAAAGATAATGAAAGTGATTAAAGCTGACCTAAAAATATATATAGCTTATCGCCAAGTAAACAAAATGCCTAGAGAGGCGGCTACTATAAGTGATTGGAGTAATAGAATCAATATAGGTCTAGAGTGATTTTTAGAAAGAGAGAGACATTACATGGATTAATGGAAGCAATAAAATTATAAAAGTGAACATTGAATTTAACAAAAAGAAGAGAGAGAGAGAGCATCTAAATATTATCTCTCTAGACACACACAGTATAATCTGGATTCAATTCAAATCTTCCAGCTACCATCGACATCGATTTCTCTTTCTGGCTGGACAACTGATCACCGCTGTGGCCTTCTTTATGGTGATGTTTGTGCCGGCTGTGGAGAAGCCTCAGTTCCATTGCCACGCCGGGGTGTCCAACATACGCTACTGCTCCAACTATCCAAAGGATGCGGAGACGCAACTGGAGGCGTTCTATGGGAACCGCACGCTCACCTGCAACATGGCGTGCCAAATGGAGCCAGACATGTGGGACATCGTCTGCCAGCACTGGCTCAATGCGAATCCGCTCAGCGACTGTCAGGCGAATCGAACGAAGAACACGCTCAATTTTTCCACCTACATCGATATGAAAGGTTTGATCGAGGAGGCGAATGGCAATATGAGATGCCTGAATTTCCTCATTCCGCACGACCTGGGCACAATCGACTCCCGCAATGTGACGCTCTACTGCCCCAAGGACAAGCCGATGTTCCAGTCCAGTTGCCAGATGGAGTGCAACGATACGTTCATCAACGAACTCCTGCCCGACAGCTCGGTGATCAATATGGGCAACGCTGTTGCTCTGCCCGAGTTCTGGTTCTTCTTTGGCATGCTGATCATCAGCTGGATAGGCATGGCCGTCGTGGTGAGCATCGGCGATGCCATCTGCTTTGGCATTCTGGGCGACCGACATCATCTCTATGGCAGGCAGCGGCTGTGCGGCTCCCTGGGCTGGGGCATCTTCGCCCTGCTCGCTGGCCTGCTGGTGGACACGATGTCCAAGGAGGACAGCATTGACAAGAACTATACGATTGTCTTCTGGATGACGCTGATTATACTAGGCTTCGATATGCTCGCCTCCACCAAGCTGAAGGTGAGTCACTCGAAGATAAACAAGATTTGTATTAAATGGATTCTGTCCCATAGCACACCCAGACGCACATGTCGGCCAACATCCTAAGGGACGTGGGTCAAATGTTCCTTTCAATACGTTGCGTCGTCTTCTTCCTCTGGTGCGTGGCCATTGGCCTGGGCACAGCGCTGATATGGAACTTTCTATTCATCTATCTGGAGGAGCTGGCGCAGCCGTTCGACCATGGCGCCAACTTCATCAAGACGCTGGAGGGCCTCGTCATGAGCATTCAGTGCTTTGGCGGCGAGCTGCCCTTCTTCTTCATGTCCGGATGGATACTGAAGCGCATCGGGCATGTGAATGCCATGAGCCTGGTGCTGTTCGGGTTCGGTGTGCGCTTCATATTGTACTCGATGCTGCAGAATCCCTGGTACATACTGCCCATTGAGCTGCTCAATGGCGTCACCTTTGGGCTCTTCTATGCGACAATGGCTTCCTACGCCAGCATCGTCGCTCCGCCAGGCACGGAGGCTACCATGCAGGTAAACGCAATCCCAGAGAGAAACGATTGAAATGATCGTACTGAAAAGTTTTTTCCTACAGAGTCTTGTGGGTGCGATCTTCGAGGGCATTGGCGTCTCCATGGGCAGCCAGATTGGTGGTCAGCTCTTTGATGGAGTTGGCGCTCGTACCACCTTCGAGATCTTTGGCATTGCCGCCTTCATAGTGTTCGTCATCCATGTCTGTGTCCAATTCTACCTGCAGCGCAATGGCCCAGCTGAAAATGGTAAGGGTAGGTCCTCCACGGCAGCGTCCGCAACTGCAACTGCATCCGCATCCGCAACTCCCGACTGCCCGACTAACATTAAGAACCTCGATGGGTTTAGCGATGTCGATTTGAGCTGAGGTCAGGAGTTCGTCCGAGGCTTTCCATCCGTATTATAACACAGGCCAAGAACTTAAATGAATTTATCAGCATTTTCGAAAGAACTAAATGAATTTATTAACTGTGCCGTTAGATAGGATATTAAAGTATTCTCAGCTATGCCATAAGAGTTTGAATATGGGACAATAACTAGAAGACTTTCAGCTATTTAGATATTACCCGATATTAAAACACATAGTTACCAAATGTTAAATCATAAAAGTTGATTCAAGAACTATATAAAGTATTTTGATAAATTCGGTTTATTGTTGTCGTAAGAGGCGAAGACAGGCTATAAAATGTTGTTTCATTTCATTCTTTTATTCACTCGTATGTATATAAAGTTATATGAAATTTTTGATCTGGGTTAATTGTAGATCTTATATAAAATACATAGAAACATTTGTATATATATCAAATATATATTTCTTGAACTCTGCTCAAACACAGCTATTCTCATTGTTGCATTTTTTAATATTTCTTTTTTTTTTTTTTTTCATATTATTTAAAAATTGTACAAAGCTCATACAAAAACAAAACAAAATAAATTGGTAATAAAAGTTTCGCACTTTTTGTTAAAGACACTTTAAGGCATTTAAGATCATGTTTGTAAATGCATTATCACTTAAGATAAGATCGATATTCAGGTAATCCTTAAAGAATTAATTCGGCATATTTATCAAAAGTAAAACATAAAACTCTTTTACACTTTTACAGAGACTAATTCATATTTCGAATACTTTTAGGCACTGTCAAATATTTCGCACCGACAGATGCAATGCACATGCTGAATGAACAGGAGTATACAGGTCTTAGCTAAACAGCTCCTCCTCATCCTTCTCTGTGATCTGGCGATTTACCGAATTCGTATGCTTGCCAGCGTGAAACGACACACAATCAGCCAAGAAAACAAAATCAAAATAACAAAACCAATACCAAATCAAGAGAAACACTTTTCCTGCTGCTGAATCAGAACAATTTCCTCATCAAATTGCATGGCGAATGCTAAATATTCAATCTCGATTGTAATTATAATTATTATATGTAATTGTACTCTAATTTTAGTAATGCTAGCAACAAATTCCTCTCACATCTAATATTTTTGTTACACTAGTGCATGCTTTTGCTAGGTTTATGCGCCGCAGATCGTGAAACAGAAGAGGTACAAAGAAAATGTATTTTCATTCAAGTAAAGAAAATAAGGAAATGTTATAGTATTACTAGTTGTGATATAATAATTTCTAATTATTAGTTAAATTCAATTTGCTAGCTTATCACGATTTGCACGCGCATAAACATAGCTTTTAAATAAACATTGTTAAATTTAAATGGCATGTCTTTAAATTGTATTGAAAACTCTAAAATTGTGAATGTTGAAATTTTTTTTTTTTTTTTTTTTTGAAACTAAAAAAAGAAGCTTTAAGTATTCAATGTTGCTTATGAAATTGGCTTTTCATGCATGCGAAAATTATCTCGAAAGTATTTTTCAAATTATATAGTAAACAAAAGAGTTACCTACTATTCTCTTGTTTGTAACTTGTCCTTTATCATGTGTATTCATTTTGGATGTAATGTTTATTTAGCTCTTAGCTTAGAGTCTTGTCAGCCTTGGCAGTACTCATTATGTTTAAGTACTGCCCGATTATAACTAGTTTTAATATATATAAGTAACTATAAAGCTTGTTATATCTATGGCCCTATGGCAACGGATTGCCAATGAGCGACTCCTCGTGCTGTTGCTTTTCGACTTTGCGTTGGTGTTCGCGTTGCTTACAGGCTGCGATGTGTGCAGCTCGTTTCTGTAATCAGAAATACGATACGTACATATATATAGATATACTTAGTTATCAATTGATTATGATTGCATGTGGTCTACTAGTTCGTACACACTGTTAATTATTGTTTTTTTGGTTTTATGCTATACAATAAAGATTCGTTACTTTGGTTTTCTTTGTACATTGTTGGCTTACCTTGATGACTTTGGAACGCTGATAAATGCTCTGCATATCCTTTTTGATTTTAATCAGTTTATCTTTGTAGAGCTTCACGTTGTTCATCTGAATGTGTGTAGACGGTAAGGTAGACGTTCATTAAATATCATGCGCCATTGACATGAAACACTTAGATTAGTCTAACAATATCATAAAATGCATTTAGCTGTCAGCGATAAGAGTTATACGCCCAGACATTGTTTATAATTGATATAAACCATTTGTACTGATAATCACGTACTTCAGTAATTAACTGAACACTTAATATCTAAAAGTTCAGTTTTCCCTTACCATATCGTATAGTTTAGATACTTCGCTGCAATCCAGCTTATATTTCTCCTTGGACACATCAATGTAGAATTTGTTTTGTTTGCCACTGCAATCGAGTTATTTATTTATGTGTGATTACCCATCTTAAATCAAACATTACTTACATCAATTCTTTCAGCTGATTGCGAACACGTACTAATGGCGATTCGGCAATTTCAAGGACACCAAAAGATAATTGCAAGGCTGCCATAGAGCAATCAATTTCGTCTACTTTTCCTTGCGACAACGATGTGTTGTTGTTTTTGTTGTTCTTAACTGATTTCTCTGGTGCTGCGACGGCGCCAGTGCCCGTGCGATCGGCATCGAGTTCACCAATAACACTACTTGATAACACAACTGTACAAATCATTTATATAAGCTTTTACCCATAGATTACCTGTCCAAGTTGCTGCTTTTCAACATTTTAAAATCGTATAATGGACGACAAAGCTTCGGAATTCCACAAATAACAATTGTTAAATAGCTGTTTATTACAGTGTTGTATATTTTAGAAGTGGCTCGCACTTATCGACACTGGCTGCTATCGATAACAAGCTCCACCAGCCCTACGCTTATCAGCTGATTAGTCTGAGATTTGTTTATTTTTCCGCATTATGCATATTTCCAATTGCTAATCAGGAATTATAATGCGTTGTTCTGTAAGATACTGTGGCAACAACAATCGAAATGGCAATAAAAAGAATTGGCGCTACTTTCACTTTCCAAAAGATAAGCAACAGCTCGAGAAATGGATTGAATTCTGCGAGCGCGACATAACAAATCCAACAACAGGTAAGTTGTTTTGTAACGAAGTGAATAAGTGAATAATAAATCACTTATTAGCCTGTATCTGTAATGAGCACTTCACTCCGGACGACTTTGAGCGAAATATGCAATATGAGCTTGGTAAGTTTAAATATATAGGTATAGCAAACTGTTTCTATAGCAACATGCTTTTTTTCAGGTTTCACACGTAAGAACCCAACAAAATTAAAACCTGGATCCTATCCCACTATACATGGGCCACAGACTAAGATGTTATTAAATAATGCTAAGGATAAACGTAGAAGTTGTAAAAATGCAAGCCCATCTAGCAGCCAGAAAAAGAAGCAGAAAGATGAAGAGAATTCAAAGAGCTCACAGCTTAAGCAGCTTACCCCAAAAGCATGCAAAAGAGAAGAGGAAGCTGCTGAAAGTGGGAATAGCCAGTATCAAAGCTATGAAATGATAGAGTATATTAGCGAATCGGACGATGCTCCCCTAACTGATGAGGGGCCACGAATCGGACGAATTGAATTGGAAATAATTGACTCGCTTGATCCCCAAACAAATACTGAAGAACATGTGGAAATCATTGAATCTGAGAGCGACAGTTATGCGAGGCATTTAGAATGCGAAGTGTAAGTGAAATTACAAATAATTACAAACTTAAATTTACCAAAATCAAATTTTGTTGCTATCAACAGGAGCAGCCTAAGGCGTCAGGTTTTCTTCTTGAAAGATGAGCGTAAAAAACTGATGGATGAAATTCAAAGCCTAAGAGCAATAGTTCAAAACGCTAGACTAAAAGACGAATCCCTGGAGACCCTTAACCTAGCCAATAATAAGACTGTTTGTATTAATCCTGGATGAACTTAAAATTAATTAATAATTATTAATTAATTATTACAGATTACGAAAAGTAAACACAGACCTCCAATTAAGAAGACAGTCATGCTATACACAGCAAATATTGATAGCATCAGGAAATTACGAAAAATAAACAAAAACGACTGAGTAAAAACAACTCTAATAACTAAATTTACAAACATATGTATATAAGAAATATATTTTTATACAAACATTGTTTATACGTAAATCAAGTCATCAAGCTTATCTTAAGATTTAGTGAAAACTAATCCATTTGTTTGCAAGCAACAGGCAAGTCAATCCGACTGAGTGAGATTTTTAAGAATTTTATCTGCACTTTCCCAGAAGGAATTCAGCTAATCTCTTTCTTATGTATGTGTCGCTATCATAACTCAATTTTAACGAGCAGGCAACTGTATTGGGTGGGTTGTTCGTTCTTATCGCGGAAATTTTGTCTGGTAAATTTCCGACAAGGTCAAAGTCATTAGGACCACGACGCCTACAAACGAACATATTGAAAGATTGAGCTGACCCTGCCTTGGCTCTACCTGCAGGCCTATAAAACTGCGCCGCAACTTCCAATCGACCTGCACTTCAAGCGAAACTCTCTGGCGATCAACAACTTGCTCGAACCGGACCAGGAGCTCTGGCCAGTGGGCGATAGAAACTGTTGCGACGAGGCGTAGGAGTGCCAAATCAGCTGGATGATAATACCATCGCACTGGAACTCTGAATAGTTGGCAATGGGAACACAAAGCCCACATGGAGCCGGAACCATGGAATTGCGCCAAGGCGTTTGCTTGCTGTGTCAGCAATTAGGGAAAAATTTAGTTTTACTCAATTGTAAATAGTCCCCCAATCCCCAATTAGTCAAATTTATTTAGCAAAATTATACAAAGTAGCCAATTTTATTTAGATAATGATGCTTTAGTATATTCTAAATATACGTGATATTCACTGCAATAAAATGTAATTTACACCCCTTATATAAAGTTTTTTATTCCAATTTAGGCATTCGGTTGAATTATGTATGTTGTACATGAAATACAATGAAATACATACATATATGAGGTATATTTATATATAGCTCATACATACACCAAAAAAATGTATATAATTTAAATTTGCAATTAAAGTTTAACCAAAATTATTTTGGTATATATTATTTTGTTCTTTAAATTTATATAAATCATAAATAATACATATAGCAGAATTTAACCTTCCTCAAATTGAAAGCGTATGAAGAGTTCCACGAATATAAAAAAAAAATATAAACATAAATATTGATAAAACATAAATGCGTTACCTAGGAGTACAGTAAACCTTATAGCCTCGGTTTGTTATGCTGTAACAGTTCGTCTTAACAAGAGAATTGAGTTGCCAGCTTAAGAGTTTATATTTTTCCGAGAATGGAATACATATACAAAAAGGAGCGACGCACATTTGGCTCGCGGGTGCACTTCGAGGACAAGGATGAGGTGGTGTTTAGCGAAAACTCGAATCCAGAGCTGGTCAAAAATTTCATATTGAAGAACCCCGTGGATCGGTCCACACAATATGCGGGGCAAACATCGCTCAGCGTGGCCAACACGGAGCGCGCGACGTACAAGAGCACGGGCATCACGCACAATGAGGGCGGCTGGCCGAAGGACATTAATATGCATGATCCGGAGCAGACGGTGCGCTACAAGCGAAAAATTGAAAAGGATGAGAATTACATAACGCAAGTGATGAACCTAACCAAACCCATGGAGCACTACATATTCCAGAACAATGCGGTCAACATCTATGAGAATTACTTTGAGAACATGGAGCCGGCTCCACTGCCAGAACCCTGCAAATCCCGCACGGTTAACGTCTATCGTGATCCGAATCCGATAAAGGTGCCCGTAAAGCATTTGTCGTGGTCCCCAGATGGTGGCATCAAAATGGCCGTCAGCCATTGTGACATGAAGTTCCAGGGAGACAAGACCGGGCAACGCTGCAACTCGTACATCTGGGAAGTGGAAAATCCAAACGAGCCGTTCCTAACGCTGGAACCGAAGGTCCCATGTGTGTGTCTGGAGTACAATCAAAAGGATCCCACCAGCCTGGTCAGCGGCATGTACAACGGCCAAGTAGCTGCCTGGGATACGCGTCACGGCAAGCTTCCTGTGATGATTAGTGAACGCGAGGTTTGTCATCGAGACCCGGTCAACTCGGTGCTCTGGAATAACTCGAAGAGCGGCACGGAGTTCTTCTCGGGCGGCTCCGATGGCCAAGTGCTCTGGTGGGATACACGCAAGCTCAGCGAACCGCTGGATCGCTTGCTCATGGATCCGGTCAAAGGCGATGAACAGGATTTATCACGCTCCTATGGCATCTCGGTATTGGAGTATGAGACAACCATACCAACTAGATTCATGGCTGGCACCGAGATGGGCATGCTGTTCTCCTGCAACCGCAAGGGTAAAACACCCACAGAAAAGATACAAATCAGGGTGAGGGCTCTTAGAGTCTCTCTGCAGAATCTCTTGATCTTCAAACCTCTTTCTGTTTGCAGATGATGTGTCATTTGGGTCCAGTGTATGCCATCACGCGCAATCCAGCTTTTGTGAAGAACTTCCTCACGGTGGGCGATTGGTGTGCACGCATCTGGTCCGAGGATTGTCGAGAGAGCTCAATTATATGGACCAAGAGCAGTTCCTCGATGCTGACGGACGGCGCCTGGAGTTACACCAAGTATGAACTGACATGCATTTACCTTAATACGATACCACGCTAACCATCCCTGCCTTAGGGTCTCTCAATTCTTTATCACTCGCATGGATGGCGTGCTGGACACATGGGATCTGTTGCAGCAGCAGAATGAGCCCGTGCTAACGGTCAAAGTTTGCGATGAGCCGCTCTACTGCGTGCGCACCAACGAAAATGGAAAATTTGTCAGCTGCGGCAGCAAACTAGGCGCAACTTTTCTAATAGAGGTTTCCGAAAATATGATAATGTCAGCTAAAAACGATAAGCCACTCCTAACGGCGGTAAGTCGCAGTACCGTACATATAAATAATATAATTACTTCATTATGATTCGTATTCCAAAGATGTTTGAACGCGAAAATCGACGTGAGAAGATTTTGGAGGCCAAGTCGAGGGAGAGCAAGCTAAAGATTAAGGCCAACCATGGACAGGAGCAAGCCGATCTGACCATGCTAAATGGCAAAATCAATATGGAGCCATTCGCCAGCGCCTGCGAACAGGCAGCCAGCGAATATTTTGCCGCTGTGGAACAGGAGCGATTGCGACGAATGCCCGGAGGCAAGCGTAGGTGAACGCTGAAGTAAACTGTCTTCATATAATATCTTATCTTTAATATTTTCTCATACTTGCAGAGGATGCGGAGGAGGCTGATGTGTCGGAAGCAGAAACCGTGAAAGCTTAAAACTTGAATTGTTAATTACTTACTGTTATGGGTCGGTTAAGTTACTAAAGCATATATACATGTCACAAACGTATTGTTTAATTTTCAAAATAACGGTCGGCGTTGTTCAACACTGCAGGTAATCGATAATTTGTGGTGGTCGGCCAACAGTCGGTGAGCTGCATACCAATTTTGATTAAAGTACACAGCAACAGACTACAGTCATCGATACAAGCATTGGAAGTTTTGCTATATATTTGCTTTAAAATTGATAAATAACGTAAGAGAAGTTTGTAATTGATATTATGAAATAAGTGCCCTTGTAGTTGTTGCATTAAGTGCAGACACAAGTGCCGAATTGTAAACAAATAGTTTGAAGTGCGCGGGCAGTATAACCAACGTCCATGTTGCACGTTGCTCTGTGTGGCCTACGTGACTCAGAAACAGTTATCAATGGCGCAACAACAGCTGCTTCAAAAGTTTACTGACCAATTCCGTAGTGCAACTGCAACCCCTGAGCATAGCCGCATTTAAATTTGAACTGTTAGCGAGGCAGCAGCTAATTGCAAATAGTCTTGGAAACAGTGTACAAGTGTGTGTGCACACGTGTGCCTCTATTAAATAATCAGCAAAATAAAAACAAAGCAAAAAAAACAAAAGCAAAAGCAACAACAATATACTAGACGAGAAGAAAAACAAAGTGAACGTCTAGGAAATCTCACTGAAAACCTTGGCGCGTTTGCCATTCGACAGTTGCAGCTAAAATTAATTAACAAAGTGAAGGTGAGGACCCATACCTGAGTCATCAAATGCAATGTTTAATTACTGAAACTTCTTCACACAAAGAGAAAAGGAATAAAAAATAAAATCAGGTTATTTGTTTACACATGCATTTTGCATGTCTGCAGTCACGTAGACCCTAATTTTTCACAGCGCTTAGAGCTCATTAGCTCTCCATATATGCGTAAATAGACAAATAAATGCATAAATATAAAAATACGAAAAAAAAAAACAAATAAATAAATATACATACATACACATGTATATTTATTTATCATAATAATCACAGACCAAAGACAAGGTCAAGTTTGTTGTCACATTTGTTTTTGTGTATCACATTTGTTTATAGTATCGAATATTTGTTTACGCTTGTGCATTACAGTTGTAGCTCCAGCAATTTTTCATCATGTTGGACATTGTCCAACCCGCCGAGCATCTGAATGAGGGGAGCAACAACCACAACAGCGATGTTGTCGTCATACGAGCGAGACCGAAGAAGGTGTTTAAGCCCAAGGCGCGCATCAATCGTATACCACAGGAGCTGCTCAACGATCCCCAGCTGCAGCAGGCCATCGACCGGCTGCCCTCCAACTACAATTTTGAGCTGCACAAAACCATCTGGCGCATCCGTGAGACGAAGGCAAAGCGTGTGGCTCTGCAGCTGCCAGAGGGACTGCTGATGTACGCCATGGTCATCAGCGACATTGTGGAGCGATTCACAAGTGCCGACACCGTCATCATGGGCGATGTCACCTATGGCGCCTGCTGCGTGGATGACTACACGGCGCAGGCCTTGGGAGCGGATCTGCTGGTGCACTACGGCCACAGCTGCCTGATACCCGTGGATCAGACCTGCGGCATTAAGGTCCTGTACATATTTGTCGATATAAAAATCGATCCGTTGCACTTCCTGGACTCCGTCAAGCTGAATTTCAAACCAGAAGTGGGTCAAATAGCGCTGGTCAGCACAATACAGTTTGTCACGACGCTGCAAGCAGCTGCCGCAGAGCTGAAGGCAGCTGGCTACGATGTGCTGGTGCCGCAGGCCAAGCCCCTGAGCCCGGGCGAAATATTGGGCTGCACTTCGCCACAGCTGCCGGAGACGACGCAAATGATTATCTACCTGGGCGACGGACGTTTCCACCTGGAATCCGCCATGATTGCAAATCCTCTGCTCAAGGTAAGTAATTAAACTATAGACAAAGCACCATAAACTTTATTAACTCGAATATATTGCAGGCCTACAAGTATGATCCATATGAAAAGAAGTTCACTGTGGAACACTATGATCACAAGGCCATGCAGTGCCTACGTCACTCGGCTGTGCAGCGTGCCAAGCAGGCGAAGCGCATTGGCATCATATTGGGTACACTGGGCCGGCAGGGCAGCGCTCGCGTGCACAGATTTCTGGAGAAGCGTCTGCACGCCAAGGGCATTGCGACGACAACAATACTGCTGTCTGAGATCTTCCCACAGAAGCTGGCGCTGTTCGCAGACATCGACGCCTTCGTACAAATCGCCTGTCCACGTCTGTCCATCGATTGGGGCTCGGCTTTCGAGCAGCCATTGCTGAATCCCTATGAGCTGTCCGTGGTGCTAGGCGACATCGAGTGGACGCCAGACAATGCTTCGCCACGCACCAATGCCTATCCCATGGACTTCTATGCCAGCGGCAGCCTAGGTCCGTGGACACCAAACTTCAAGCCCCCAGCGCTCGGCGAATGCGAGAATCGACCCTCGGCCGACTGCTGTGGCCGCTGCACACGCGCCGAACTGGAGAAGGATGATACCGGCAAGGCGGCGGCATTGGCCGACTTGCTCGACTTCAAGAAGGGCTAAAGAATCCGACCAAGAGGAAATTGGCAGTCCTCGTATCATCGTATACATTTCTCTCACTGCTGAGTAACTAGGTGATTTAGTTTATGTGCCCGCCCAGCCCAAATGTAATATACCTACTAATTTAAGTTAGTACAAATATCATTGCTAAGTTATTGTGGCGATGTATATATGTATATACTTCATGTATGTGTATATATATGTATATATTAGCTCAACATTTGTGTTCAATCAAACTCTATTTGCTATCAATGACAGCATTCATTTAATATTTTAGTTTTAGTTGCATTTTTCAGAAAACAAATATCATTTAAAGTTACACGATCTTACGATTAAAGAAATGTTTAATACGCCAACTAAATATGAACTCTGATCTTTTGATTATTATCAGCTGTAACTGTACAACGTATGTATGTTTTCATTTTCGACTGCTGCAGTCTAGTATTTGCTTTACTACGACGCAATAGCATCTTGACTTTATATTTGACGTATTTGTTTTTCCCTGCGAACATCTTTCTCTTATCAGCTAAAACAAATTCAAAATTCTTGATATTTTGTCTATTAAAATTATATACATATATATTATGTATGGGTAAATTAACACTTCAGAATCTACAATGCATCAGCTGTTAAGCACGACAATTCAAGTTTTATATATTGTATTTTGTATTTGTATTTTTATATGATTCACAGTTTGTTTAGCTTTGCTGGAGATGCCCCAAATTTTGAGTTAAACTTAAAAGTTACTTTTATATGTATAAATAATGAGCTTTAAGTTCTTAGCAAATTCTTTACCCCTTATAGAGCGAACTGATAATGACTGTCTGACTGTGAGAAATAAAGATAGCGAAATTAAGGCCAGTGAACTGAAAAGTAGAATAACCAAATGCCTAATTAAATAATATTGTTATCTCTGCTGAAAATTTAATAGCAAATATTACTACTACTTAATTGTATTATAGTATTAGTAAAACAATCCTTAATGTCATATTATATGCCCATTATTATATGACATTAACGATCATTAACTCATTGCATTCCAATACAATCGAAATTGATAGTTATGTAGATACAAAAGTCTATTGAGGTATATATGTATATTACACATAATGAGTGACTGATAGATTTCTAAAGATCTAACCATAGGAATATCATTATCGCATAATTAGGAAGGGCAGATTGTGGAGAAAAGTAAGTGCAAAAAGTCATTATTATTATAGCATAAGCATCAGCATCGTTATGATCAATATAAGCATCATTAGGAAAATGAGTATCAATTATATAATTATCATTCACAGGCGCGATCATAAGCAACATAACAACATCATTATTATTATAAGGCATACCTAAGGCAATACCTATAGCTATTATTAATAGAATCTAACATTCAGAATTACCCTTACTAAATATTTAATATGTTAACAATAATAATATTAATTGAAAGGAATATAAGAGCGCCACCACAGCACCACAGCAACCAGTCAGCACTAGATCACCGACAAGACTGAACCCAAGCTGCCCCGGCTTCTCGCTTTTATAGGCGCAGTTTCACTCATTTGTCTCTGCTCTGCTCTTGAGTAGTTTTTTGAGTTATTTTGTGTATGCACAATAAGTGCAGGAGTAAATTGAGTCTTTCTATTGAGTAAATGGAATATGGAAATGCATTGCGAACTAGAGGGTGGAACGAACGKTATGGATCACCAATACATACATACATACATATATGATGAATATGCATGTGTTTGTAGTGTTTGCTCGATTTGTCTATTGTGCTGCTGAGCAGGTGAATGAGTTGGATTTATAAGCAAAAGTGAGCCATACAGGATGCGATTTTATGGTAGCTTGAGTGGAATTACATTGATACAACGAAAACTTTATATATAAAAAATAATTTATTCGACGTTTATCAAGTAAAACAATGCATTTCGGCTTCATAAATATTTAAGTTTTTATTTATTTTTCTTTTTTATTTTTAAACATAAAAATGTTCGTACAAATACGATCACGCATAGGACATGCAGTTAAAAGCTGAATATTCTGCAGAGTATTCTGCACATATTTAAGTTTTTTGTTTATTTGTTTTCTTTGCTTGTTTTTTTTTGTAATCTGGTCTATAAATCAGATCTTAACTTTATACATAGATTGGATGGGAGCAGACTGAGCTGATCCGGAAAAAGCCTTTAAGCATTAATCTTGAATTGTCTACAGTTAAAAAAAGGAACACGCTCTTAATATTTAAGTTGAGAGTGTTCTTTGCTTTGGAGTTGGAAAATATGTTTTCGTACTTGTTACCTTGCTTAACACTAAGACAATCTTACATTTATATATCTGTATATATATATTGTATCCTGACTGGCGGCATTTGATTAAATTAGACTTGGATCCTGGGATGTACATGATATACTCCACATATCCATGCATATACATATACATATATATATTTTATATTTCTTTGATTCCGATTTAGATAGTACATACATATACTCATATATATATTTTTGTATTATATTTTTCTTTATTATTTTTAGGTAGGTGTATTCGTTTCTAGCTTTGCTTCCTGCAACATCACATGATTTCTATTTGCGTTTGTTTTTGCTTTTACTTTTGTTTTTATTTTTGTCTTTGTTTTGTTGTAACTCTTAAAAGGGATTCAATTATCGTAAATAGAGTTTTGATTTCGTAACACGTTTGGGCAAGGACAACTGGGATAACTGGTTAATTTGATCAACTTATCAGCGAATGTAGCACCAAAAAACAGCTGACAATAAAAATAATCTACACTTAAACGCTAAAAAGATCGTTTAAAATTCATATACACAAAACTGTGCCTAATAATCCCTTAAGTCCAACAAATTATTGTTCCACATCTTCTTCAGTTTACTCTCAAAAAATAGTCGAACGACAGAAAAGTATTATTTACTCTACATAGTTTTCGCACTTTTGTGGCAGTTCAATTTGCATTACTGAAATACATTTTGGGACTGTTTGCTCGGGATCACAACCTCCTATGTGATGCTCGCTCTTGCCCACTCTTCCACTCTCTCTCTCTCCCTCTCTCTGTCTCTATTTCAAATGAAAAGTTCGTTTAAAGGCCAACAAACATTTAATTTGAAATGAAGGCTTTGGGATAGTTTAGTTAAAATTAAACTCAGCTTCACGGAGCTCTTTCAAAACAGTACTTATAGCATGTACGCATGCGTTGCAGAGTCGAAAGTCTAGTCCAAACAGAGCCTATGCGAACTCAGCCTGGAAGTGAGCTGCTCAAATTGTAAATTAAACATAATTATGTAGTGTTAAGACTTTATCACTTTGCTTTCTCCCCCTCTCCTCTCCCGCTCTGTCTTTCTCACTCGTTGCCCGTCCCAGAATTTAAAAAACTTTAACACACACACGCACACATAAAATAGTCTCTCGCATTTCGCAGGCTTTCGTCAGCCTTAGCATTGGCTGGAGCACCCTGTATCTCTCTCTGGCTTTAAAAATATGCATATATATCTTTACTCTCTCCTCGCCTCGTCAATCTCTCTGTACTCTCCCTCCCCCTGCGCCTTGGTCCCTGCTTGCTGAAGCTTACAACGAAAAGTACTTCAAGAACTGTGCCGGAGGCACAGGCTGAGCCAGCGCCAGCTGCCCGCCAGCCTCCTGGACGCGCTGCTTGTAGTCGGGACTCTGGTCGATGATGCACGGATGGCCATCGGAGGGCCAGAAGAGGCAGCAGCAGGAGCGGCAGAGTGCCAGCACCTCGGCGAACTGGTAGTCATCGTTGACGCCATAGGTGCGCCGCAGCTGATGATAGATCTGTTTCCAGTCTTTGGTCTCGCCCATTTGCTTGATTTTGTCCAGGTCCAGTATGGTGCTGATCTGTCGCTGGTTGAAGTGGAAGCGCGTCAGCTCACGCCAGATGCGCTGCTCCGACACCAGCTTGGCCATGGTCTCCCAGGCCTCGGCGGCCGACTCCAGATCCCGATGATCGGCGATGCACAAGATGATCTCGCGCACGCACTCCTCGGGCAGCTCGTGCAGCTTGGGTCGAGCCTCCGGGTCGGGCTCGCGGATCTCGATCTGGCTGGCCACGCGCTGAATGCGCTTGATCCGGGCCATGTGCTCCTGCCACAGGTAGGTGCTACCCAGGGGTTTGCCCCAGCACTTCTGGTTCTCCTGGTTGACAATCTGTTCCAGCTTCAGCGCCAGTCCGCGCAGCACATTCGGATGCTGCTGACTGTCATTGACTGCAAACAGAAACCGGTTATCAATTCCAGTTTGGACCTGGCTCAGATGTGACCTACAACTGGCCAACTGGTTAGAGCGCTATTACTTACCATGTGAGGCCACCTCCTCGACCATTTGGAGCAGCTGGCGCTGTGCGCTGCCCGGCAGGCTGGCAATGCCCTTGTTGGAGACCAGCAGCAGGAACGCACAGATGTAGTGGAAGCGCTTCCGATCCCGCACCGAGCGACGGAAATCGAGACGCTTCACCGCCTCGCTCAAACCATTGAAGCCGGCTATCTCGCGGGTGCAGCGTATCGTGATGTGGTAATGCGGCGGCATGCAGCCCTCTTCCTGCTCCTCCTCCCGCTCGCTGCTGCTGCTGCTGCTGCTGGTCGTTGCCTCCGGGCAGCTACCCTCCGAGCTGTGGCTGCAATGGAAACAACATGAAAAGCTGTTAGAGCCAGTCAAAGACAACATTCGGAAGTGATTGCAATCGCAATGTCTATCTATCTCGCTGTCTCTGTCTCTCTATCTCTCTCTTTCTGTCTGTCTCTTAGTTGTTGGTAAATATTTTTGGGTTTTTAGTTTTGGTGTTATTTGCTTTATTTTAAACGTTTGTTAACTGTTTTTTAAAGAGGCGGAAGTTGCCAAGTTTTTGCTGCTGCGTCAGCTGTTGCACATATTACATGTTGCATGTGGCAGCTGAAACCCGTTTATTAAATAAAGCATTTCGCTCGTTGGAGCCCGCAACTGCTTTGCCAGTGTCAAGTCATTCGTTTTTGGCCAATTACACGAATATTACTCCAAGCAATTAGAGTTTGCACAATCTCAGTTATGTGTCGGTCTTTGCACTGAGGAAATCGTTTAAGTCTTTCCCATAGCTCAATCACATTAGAAGAGTTGGCCAGAGGCCAACAATTTATGGCAAATATTATGAGCAGTAAACAATGATATATATATATATATACATAT